TGGAGCTTCGTTCTTCACCAACTCTGCTGCAGTGTGTAACATTTTCTGTCACATTCACCGTCGCCTGCTGACCCTACCACTCAGGCCGGAGGACGCACCCTTGACATTGGCTGGACTCCCTCCAATGAACTTTCGCGACCTGCCTACTTTTCTTAGGTTCCCGGAAAGTTATCCTGCATATTTGGCCATGAAATTAGGTCAGTTTTCGAACTTGGAAAAGGCTGATTGGATTTTTGACAACACATTTCAGGAATTGGAAGACAAGGTATGTTGCACAGTCATGAAGTCACAGGAACAACTTGCTTAATCAGTGTGGGATTTTAATTTGTTATGTCAAGAGCTAGCTAGGTTCATATTTTTTAATTATATGTCTTCATTCATCCTGATATCTTTATATGATGTTGTTGAAGGAAGCAAGAGGTGTATCAGATTCGTGGCCGGCAAAGTTGATCGGACCTATGGTACCGTCAGCTTACTTGGATGACCGGATTAAGGGAGACAGAGGATATGGATCAAGCTTGTGGAAGCCTCTTTCCGAAGAGTGCATTGAATGGCTAGAAACAAAACCTTGTGAATCTGTGGTCTACATCTCTTTTGGAAGCATGGTTTCATTGAAAGAGGAAGAAATGGAGGAAATAGCATGGGGCATAAAGGAAAGCAATCTGAATTTCCTCTGGGTGGTCAGAGAATCAGAAAGGAAAAAGCTCCCTGAATCGTTCCTAAACTCAAGTGAAGAACAGGGAATGATAGTGACATGGTGCAACCAGCTAGAAATGCTATCACACCGAGCCATTGGCTGCTTTGTGACTCATTGTGGCTGGAACTCGACCCTAGAAGGGCTGAGCCTAGGGGTTCCGATGGTGGGGGTGCCAAAATGGACTGACCAATTGACAGATGCAAAGTACATAGAAGAGATATGGGGGGTAGGAGTGAGGGCGAAGGAGGATGAGCACGGAATTGTAAGGAGAGGAGAGCTGATAAAGTGCTTGAAGGAAGTAATGGAGGGAGAAAGAAGCAAAGAGATCAAGAAAACTGCTGGAAAATGGAAGGAATTGGCTAAGAGAGCCATTAGTGAAGGAGGAAGCTCAGATCAGTGCATCAACGAGTTTGTTGAACATTTGAAATGTTAGAATCGAGTTTGTTGAACATTTGAAATGTTAGAATCGAGTTTGTTGAACATTTGAAATGTTAGAATCTCTAATGGAAAGAGCGTTGTGCGGTTCATATTATTATGAACTGTACAAACTTTAACCATTAAATGAGAGTAAATCTCTTGATATTAAGGTTTCTTTCTTAATTAATGATTATTGTTTTAGGTTTCAACCGAACTCATCTCTAATTGTATATTTATGTATGAACTGTACAAACTTTAACCATTAAATGAGAGTAAATCTCTTGATATTAAGGTTTCTTTCTTAATTAATGATTCTTTCTTAATTAATGATTATTGTTTTAGGTTTCAACCGAACTCATCTCTAATTGTACGTTTTTGTGTTTGTTTTGTATTTTGATTGTGATGTACTTTGGGCAGTTAAAATGTGATTGTTCGTTTTCAGATCTCTAGTTGCATCCTGTTTGGAAGAGGAGTGTCTTATGCTAAACATGAATCCTATTCTGAATTTCTGACTCTCCACTTCAAATGAATCCAATTCTGAGTTTCTGATTCTCCACTTCAATTCCATGTCCGCTTAGTGCCTTACTAATTGAGGACGATTTTTTTCCAGTTGCGCATAGCTGTTACCTCACACCCTCTACATACCTTTCACATCAATATTTGATGAAGATTTGGCCACATTGCCCAAATCTTTCCCGACCAAATAATTAGAAAAACGTGTGACCCTCAATGCAACGGAAGTATCTTAATTGATAACCAGTAATCACTTCAATGTTCATGTGAGAAATAGAACAAAGCTTTAATGTTCTTCTTTGTTGGAGCATCTTCAAGAATCAACTTTCTTTTCCGGCTGGAAACAACTCGATCCAACTTTTTGACTCTTAAAAAAGGAACTAAAGGTATGTTGTTTAGGCCCATTCAAAGCCAAAACTGTTGATGGGCTTGACATGCGCCGACATGCACGCTAGCACATGTTAAGCCTTTTGCAGTGGTCCAACGGCTTGGATCCCTTTTTTTAAAGCTTTTTAATTTAAATTTTTTTATTTAAATTATATAAAATATAGACAGAACAAAATAATAATTTTTGTATTTTATTTGAAAATTTAATCTATAAAAATATAAATTTAAATAAAATAATATTAATTGTGATAATATAGCATCAAAATAAGCTATTTAATTGAACACTAGTGTATGTGCTCTAACCAATAATTGATGTACCAAAGAAACCTTTTCCAATGTGAGAATTTTTGCTTGATACATTCCCCATGTGCAAGCCCAATGTTCTTGTCATGTGAAGTCCAGATGCTTCCATACATGTAGAGTAGATTCCCTCGCGAGCTTCATAATTAAGGAAGAGGGACACCTTTGAAAAGGGGAGGGGAACTGGCTCTGATGTGATTTAGAAAACATGATGGAAAGCAAGAACCTGAAGACAGGTTTTATGCCTTTTTGAGTGATTCTATGTGCATGATGCCTTTATATAGACATATCACAATATATAATAATTCAGTAATATTCCGCATTCAAAATCAATAAATATAATATAATTTCCTACCATATACAAAACCAGTCGATCAATATAATATCTTAACATTTCCATCAAATGATGGCCTCTGACTTTATCTAGAAAAATCAACACTTGCACTTGGTTTAAAGCATGAAGGACGGGAAAGAAAATGTTTAAAGCATGAAAGGCGGGAAAGAAAATCATGAGCATTTGGTTTAAAGCATGAAAGACGGGAAAGAAAATGATGAGCATTTGGTTTAAAGCATGAAGGATGGGAAAGAATATGGGGGGGAATTCAAAAGTGATTTGCTGTTTATAAACTGTCAATAAATTTAAACGCATTGTTAGAATTAACAGTAATCATAAGATGAGTGTACCTATGCGTACCAAGTTTTTCTAATCACACTTGTGTCAATTCAACAGCTAAGGTGTCTCCAACTTTGCTGGAACTCGTTAAAATATGAAAATCACACTTAAAAATGTTGGATCATAGCAGACCTATTTTACACTGTATATATATGTATAGTTTGTATATAAAGTTCAGCAAGTAAACTCTAAACAGGACATACCTCTCTTCTTATGCTTGTTCCAAAAACTTCTCTTTCTGCTAAATGCTGCTTCCTGTAGTCAATGAAGAACATTTTATTTTTTAGGCATCACTTGAAGGTGTAAATCACCAATCTAAAAACAAATATGTGGAACAACCCAACATGCACAAGTAAGATGCACTCGTGCAATTCTTTTGAAAAGGGAGGAGGGTGGTGGTCCCTGGTCAGGATGAAGGCCAATTACCATAGGTGTTGTTTTCTTTAAACAGGGTCTGCAATAGGATGATACAAACTGTCAATAAGGTAAAAGAAAAATGCAAGGTTAGGGGATTACCACTGGCTGAACCAGTTTTCCTGCTCTATGGATGGCATCCACAAGATTCCAATTGGATTCAGTGTAAAGGACAAGTCCATATTGACCAGCTCGTGCTGTGCAATCAACCCTATGCAAGAAATCTACAGCAGAAGTGGCAAAGTCTGCCTGAAAGAACCCAACAATTTAGAGAGTTTGCTGCTCCGTTAAAATGTAGATTCAGAAGCAAAATAAGTTAATTAACATCTAGTCACTTTACTTGCAAGCATGATGCTCATTCCTGCCTTCTCCAAGTGACAGGAGCCTC